TAAAAAACGTCCAATTTTAGCGATAACGTCTGTTACGCTTATAGGCACGAACATCGCGCGTAACGTCTTACTCTTTTCCCGGGAAAATTACGCAATTTCAAGATCTGCCATAGATTTGGAGAAAACAAAAAAACTGCCATAGATTTGATTTGTAACGTCATATTTGCCATAGATTAGGAATCTGCCATACATTTGGAACCCACCATAGATTTGAGTCTTACATATTGAATGTATATTTATCTCATTTGGGGTCATACACAGTGTGTATAAATTTATATAATATAATTTACAGTTTAAGAATCTAAAATACTATGGGTATTTAATATGACCCATATTTGTCGTTCTAACCGTGTGAATTTTTCTTATTTAAGTTCAATGCCAGTGTGAAAAGAAACTTTACACGAATCGAAATGTATCTAGTTTTCTTTTAGTGTGTGTGTAAAAGGTGTACCCAGATTTATTAACTTTTAAATTCAGACTTGTTTGACTTCTATTTGGTCTAGTGAGAACGAATAAAAAAGAGAAACGAAGCATATCGACTCGCTTCAGATTCTGCTATTTTCACATTTTATCTCTCAATTTATGCCACCCCTATGTTCTCTTGGTAGCGTCATCATCTGGTTTAATTCACGGCAGGATTAAACAAAATACTAGACATATTGGCATACGCTGCTTCTTCGTTGATCAGACGGCATTTAAGAGTAAGAGTAAACAGTGGGAAATCTAGTGAAAAAGAACAAAAGAAAATTACCTCTTCTTATGAAAGAGTCGAGAAAATCAATAATAAAATAATGCCGGTGACGACACTGATAAAAAGTTATTTCTAAATAACAATTGTACATTTTAAAGAAATTATTTGTTAAACTGTGTTATTAGAAATATACATGCAAATACACGATGTTTTATGTTCAGTATTTATCGAGATAATTGCATTAGAAGCTTGTGAAACTGAAATCTAAAAAATGCCAATCTTTGCTGCATATTGATAAAACAAAAATTGGAAAATATCATGTACATACCAAATCTAAAGATCTTTCGGGTCACCAATTTTTGGAGTGTTCCACAAAGTCCTTAGCATGTTACAATTTCCCAAAATATACCTATTTTTCACTATCTAAGTTTTCGAGTACACCGGTCTGCACTTGTTACATGAAACTTCGATATAGAAATATTGTCTTTTCATGAATATACATTGTAACAATATAAAAGTCTGTCTGTGCAGGTTACAAAATTAAAGATAAATATTCTTATAAAGTAGGCATCTTTTTAATAGTTTTTATACAATTTTAAGAAAAGGTCGTCTCGCTTTTTGTACACGTATTTGCGGTTTTCTCGATCTATTCACGTTAAATGTTTACATTGGGATAAGGTCCGTTTGAATTTGCTTAGTAACTTAATTTCAAAAGTGCCAATCTTTGCTGCATATCAATCGATTCCTTTGGAATTTTGTCCCCGATTTTCTCTGATCTAGCTGCATATATATACGGATAATTAGCATGTTCCAGAGAGGTATACAGCCAGTAAAACAATAAATTGAAGTTGGTACTCCAGGAATTTATTCGCATAGCAACATTTTAAACCAATTTTACACTAAGCTCCTATAGTCTGCTGTACTCGTCGTTTTCTATTCAAGGAGGGAAATGATAACATTAAATGGAAGTTTTGTTTTTATTTCAACTTATTTCTATCTTTATTATTTACCGGAACGTTTTCCCGTGAATTTATAATTGATAGCGTCCTTGCTAAAATAGGACAAACATTGAAAAGATCTAGTTTTCGGTGTTTACAGGGGAGGTTGTATTTTGTCACTAGATTTCCCACTGTAAAGATGTGTCGGCTCGGAGTTAATTTTGTCAACATCATAACATTTGTGTGTTCGATGTGATAAAACACGGCACAATTGTTTTTTCTTATTGTTATTTTCTTCTTATTAAACCTGTTTGTGTTTAACGGTTACAACTGACAATCCATGCCACCAGAAAAATGTATCAGTGTATCTGAATTCATTTGAATTTTTTTTATTCTATTCACCTTCTAAATTTTGCTGATTGAAATAACTAAATTGAATTAAATATATGGGCCAGTTGAAATACATGAATTACACGTTTTTTTTTTGTTTTTGTTTTTTTTTCTTTTAAGTTCCTCCCTACTTTGTTTTCTCTTATAACTGTAACTTTTAAGACACATTATTTTACCAGTGCAATTAGTGCAATTAATTATATTCAGGTTCTGCTAATTTCCATCCTCGTCTTAAAATAAACCATTTTAGTCTTTTTATTGTATCTCGTGGCGGATCCAGGATAGGGTGAAGAGGGCGTGGGGATCGTCAAACATGTTTTAAATCTCACGTTTCTCACGATTCATATGATTTTTTTAGCACAAGTCGTCCAAAATATTATTAGCCTCACTACGCTCGGCAGTATCTATTTCATTTTATAGAATTAAGGCACCCTAAAAAATTCTGCAACTGCCCCTGGTTTCAATGAACAATACAACCTGAAATCAATAACTTAATCATTTGCTAAAACAATCTGTCAATTGAATACATCTCTTGGCGTGTGTCAAGTAAAAACTTAGTCCTGTAATCTTCAAATTACTTTTCCAAAATATTTTGTTTAAATTGATTTGTCGATTTTTTTTTAATGTATTTTTCTACAAATTTCCAAAAAGCAATGAGTACAGAATTCGGCGTTTAAAACTACCATTGAAATTGAGTGTCATCTAACAACAGATCAGTGCCTGTGGCTAGTGTACTCTTCGTTATTCATTCACATGTGTCTTATTTTATCATTCATTTTTGTATGGCGCTTGATTGTTAATTTGGGCACGTTTGTTATGTAAAATCAGTTACAGATAATATTATCTCGATCAATCTTTCATCCCAAGGGTTGACTTGGATATATAAATATGGTCATCCTTGGAGGTCTCCCGTTTCGGCAGTAAAAATCCTTTCTCAGTACGTTTTGCTGTGTGGGATGTATAAATAAATACATCTACGGAGGTAAGCGATTTTTTTCCGGGGGAGGGAAGGGGGGTCTGACTATAACTACAAACTTTCTAATCATCGTCCTTTGAAAAATAATGTTGCATTTGAGAAAAAAACGCGACGAACGCCAAGATGACTTGCAAGTTTGGTTCAGTTATCTTAAACTACTTGTATTTCTTTGCACCAAAAACAAATTGTTTTAAAAATGGGCTGTTCTAAATTAATATTTACTACATGAACTATTGAAATTAAGCTTTCAGTGCAATATATAAATAGATTACAACTTGAACACTGCATTTAATTTTCGCATGCCATGTCGGTGCACGTTCAATTTTACTAAACTTCACCCCAACGTAAATGCAAAGATAATCGAAAAAGTCGTGCATGTAATTTCGTAGTTTAGTGTGACGTCCATTTCGCTGAACTAGTATATATTATTGTTTATGGGCCAGCTGAAGCTGCAGATGCGGGATCTTCTCGCCGCGTTAAAGACCCATTGGTGGCCTTGGGTGTTTCTGCTTTTTGGTGGAGTTGTTGTCTCTTTTACACATTCTCCGTTTCCAATCTCATTTCTAATACTTGTTTTAGTTTTTCCATAAATAGTATAAAGAACATTGAGATATGCACTTTAAAAAGCTTTCATTCGTATTTTATATAAAAAGTGTATTATATTCATGGAAAAAAATAATCAACTAATTCATTGTGAAAACCGTAGAAAGATAGAGAACTATTATTACTGTCTACTGTATGCAAAGCTAGCAATGAAATCTCGAAAAGAAGATAAGAACAAGTACAAAAAGGACCTTATAAGGTGCGCTCGACTTGAGTGACTCCGACACGTGGTTTAATTTGATTATATATGATGTTTATTAAAACCATAAATTACTCTCTGTATGTACCTGTCCCAAGTCAGGGTATGGACACACAGGTGACCTATAGTTGTTAACTTACACGTCATTAGGTCTCTGGTGAAGAGATGTATCATTGGCAATCATTTCATGTCCACTTACTTTTATATGGACACACAAGTTAGAAATCTACCATGCTTAAAATGTTTTAAAAACAAAAATCTCCTTAATAAAGTCTGTGGATTTTTGCAAAAAAAAATGGCTTTATTTGTCACAAAAAACCCATTTTTCTATTTATAATGAATGAAATGAAGCGATACGTATTATTCCTGTGAACGACGTTTCCCTTTGGTATGTGTACAAAAAGGCATGTCTCTTTTATTCAGTATCTTTGCTGTTTTTATTTTATTGCGATGTGAAAATTTCGTTATACACAGGTACATGTATACAGAAGAAATCATAAATCTTAATTATAAATTAGAACTGTGGCAAATCAAGCCTAAATGTTTACAGAAAACCCACAAATTTCACGAGTGATTTTGGTTTTTTTTACATTTTAAACATTTATTACTCACTGGTCAGTTCATTATGACATGTAATATTGCAGCCGATTGATTGTGAAAATAGCCACTTCCTTTACAAAATAACGTGCTGATTTTGTTATTGTTGAATTGTTTCATATCTTTCATGTCGGGGCCTTTTATAGCCGACTATACGGTATGGGTTTTTCTCATTGTCGAAGGCCGTACGATTGCCTCTAATTGCTTTCATCCACTTCATTCGAATTTTGGTGGATAGTTGGCTCATGGGCAATCATACCGCATCTTTTTTTATTATGGGTCCCTAAAGTCGAGCACACCCTAGAAGGTGTATTTGAATATGTCATATTTGTACTTGGTTTTAAATATTATATTATTCTAAAGCTTGTTTTAGGGAAATCATTGCTAGCACTACATGCGGTTATGATCCTCTATCGATTAAGTACCGACTTTTCATATAAAAAAGTACTAGGGGAAAGGCTATTTGGTTTTCTATGAACCTTTCATATGTTAAGCATTTAAACAGCAAAAGGGAACACAATCCTCAAAGAACGAACAAAGTTTTATACAAAAACTTAGTCAAACATTACTATTATATCGTATTGTTAATATATAATTAGAACTTACATTTAATCTGCATATGAATACCACTTGATCTGTTACTGTTAGTCAAAAAGTATGCATCAGTTATCTAAATAAATGATTACGACGAACGTGATTTGAGCTTTAGTCAAGGACCACTCGATTCAACAGTATGTTGGAACAAAATCCGTGAACATCTGATAGTGACGAATAAGTCAGGTACACCCTTTGACCTTCATGCATGTTTGATTCGACTGCTTTGGCCTTAACATTTATAAAACAAAAATAAATGATATATCGCTTCTGATTCCATTACTTGTATATATTAAGGCTAAATGTTGATATCATTACATAACAATTCATATAGTTATTACTAAACACACAAGTATATGGGTCAAGCGGAATGTCTGTGTTATGAGTCATCACAACAGAAAAGGTGTGTTTGAAAACAAACTCTAGCTACAATCGTAAAGTTTGAAGTGCACTATCACTCTGATTTTTTTTCTTATCGTCCAAACATTTTCAAAGAAGAATTTAGGCATATCAATTATTTCATTCATGAAAATGTACAACAAAAAGAAAATTCGGACAATTTTAATGACGCCCCCTTCCACTTTTAATTTCTACCCAAACCCTTTGACGACATAATTTACCTTTGGATCTTTGAAAATACATAACTTATACCACAGAAAAACGTTGTTCAAAGCAATAATGTTTATTGTTTCATTGCATTTAATAGAAAATGGGGATTTAGTGGCAAATAAAGCCAAAATTAATTTTGCAGAAAACCCACAGACTTAATTACAGAGATTTTTGTAATAAAATTTTAAACATAGATTACTCACTTGTTTGTCCGTCATGTGCTAGCGTTTAATGTTTACAAAAAGTCCTAAACAACCTCAACAATAAAACAAAACTCTCGCTAAGTCACAGAAGTCGAGCGCGCCCTAGACCGTGTAATTGAATAAGTCCATATTTATTTCTGTTTTAACCAATATCTTTATGTATATACTTGTTTAAGGAAAATCATTGCTAGCATTGCATGCAATAATCCTCTACCTATTTAGAACCGAATTGTCAAATATAGGAGTACAAAGGGAAAGGCTGTGATGTTTTTTTTAATTTCATTATGTTTAGCATTGAAACAACAAAAGAGTACATAATCCTTTGGTCGCCCTAAAAACCTATCTAAAAATACTTTTTAGTTGTCTATATAATGATTTTAAACGTAATACTATATTTAGTGATTCATATTAGCTAGAAGAAAATTTGTCTTTTTATCCTGCACTCAGCCAACAATTGTACAAATAACATGTACATAAAATAAATTTTGCTTTATTTGTATCTGTATAAAGTCTCTTGTTACTCTTTGTTGTCTTTTTAAGAACAATGTAAAGTCGCCATTGTAATCATGCAATGTGAATTTCTTTTAAGTTTGTCCTAGATCAAATCAGGGCGCGTTTCAGTGGAAAATCTAGTAGCAACAAATAACCTTCCTCTGAGACATTGAGAAAATGAATTGGTCAATCAGGCAGAATTCTACTTTGTCAAAACCTTTGTTAACATGGTTACAGACGTAAACAAATAATTGATCAAGACGAGTTATATGTTTCTATTGTTCTCGAATACACTGTACAAATTGTGCTTAGAGCCTAAACATTTCCTAAACATGTTTAGGAAAATGTTTACGTGCTATGCACATATAATTCTATCATGTCCCTAATCTAAACATGTTTAGAATTGCAACATTCAATGCCCAACATGCTTTTAGGCTTAACATATATGACCTTTGCCATTAGAAAAGATACCACGTGATTGCGAACGCCGCATGTTTCCCGCCTGTAAATGCACAACAAAGGAAGAAGGAATTCGGGACCGGGAGTGCCGATTCAAAACACAACTGTGTCAAGAGTATATATACATATATGTTTATGACTTCTTTTGTAAGTATACATCATTTAAATAGAACTGTTTAAAGAATTTCAAACCGGGCCCTTCCCCTTTTTAAAGATTTCCTTCCAAAATTTGGAATATAGAAAAAAAACTATTGTATTTAAGATTTTGTGGTAAATAAAAAAATAGTGAAGTTACATCTTTGCTTAAATTACAAATCTTTTTAAAAACTTTAAACATAAAGAAATTTGACCTCATCACTGATTCGCAAAGAGGTGCATGTAGCCTCCCCCCTTTTTACAAACCTCAAATCTGGATTCTCGCTGATCCTGTCCAATAACTTAAATTGGATTATAAAACAATATATTTACTTTTACTTAAACTTTGTCTCAGGATTAAGGTTAGCATTCTTTTTTTATATAAAATAAATTAATGTAGTCCTTGTGTATAGTTATTTCTGTTAAATCACGAGTCTCAGAATGATTACTTTCAGGAATGACAGATAGAGAAATTATTGTTTGTTTGGATCTAAAAAATGTAACTGGTGAACGAATGAATTACAGTGCAATAGCCAAGACAATACAACAAACTGCAGGGTGCGTTATTTCATATTTTTTTAGATGCATGTAGGGCATATTTTTAAAAGTTTTTTTGTCAAGAGAAAAATAGTGGATCTTTGTTTGCAAAGAGTAGCTGTCTTTCATATTCGTTTTCCGCTTTTGATAAATTTAGACAATTTTGAGCTACAAATTGTTGGTCAGAGCCTCTGGAGGTTGCCTCCAGGCAGAAAAGGGTAGGTAAGCAGGTACATTAAGGTAAAATTATTTAATTGTTTTTTACATGGAGTATGTGGGGAAATGTCCAGGACTTGGACGGTGTTTCCCCAAAAACGTCAATTTAATGTGCAAGATTAGCCATGTAAGTTTAGAGTAGGTTGGGTGGCAGGAAACAATTATATGCAGTATTTATTTGCAAAGAAAATCTCATACATTTTTACATAAATTAATTATGGCATGACACACAATTTATTGGTACGATTATTTTGATTGATACATTTTCTTTTTCAGTTAAGTAAACTAAACCCCAGAAGACAGAAGTCCTTAGAATCGTTATAGTAGAAACTAAAACAAATTGATTAACAACTGCTTTGTAATTATGGAAGGACTAAAGGCCTGATGCAAGGTTAAACACTAAGGACACCATTTTTGACTCGTTGTTTGCTATTATGTATGGAAGTTATCATATCCTAAGCAGTATCGGACTCTAGAACTGTGTCAACTTTTGATGTGAAAGGACTCAGGGGTTCAAATTAGCGGTGGTCCGAGGTCCGTGACCTTCCACTATTGCAATCGGACTTTCATTTTTGTTACTAGCTACGCCCGACGGACCTTCGATTTGAAAGAAAATAAAAATTAACTTTGCCAACCCTTTTAACAATCAGTATCGTCATTTCAAAGCCATATTACTATTGACATGGTATAACCCTCGAGAGCCTACTTCAAACCATTTTAAATGTCGGCAAAATAAGTTTGTTAACCCATTAGAAGTGATGAAAGTTGCCTTAGGTAAATTTGTAATTCATTCAGTGCATTAAATACGTCATATTCCCTTCCAAATAGCGTTTCAGACATCGTTTAATTTTGTAAATTTTCTCGTCCGTCATTGAAATATTTGTACAAACTACTGGTCGTATTCGGGAAAGGACCAGCTATGAATGAAATCCGGATTCTAAGGATAATGACTACGGACCCATGAATGGCACATCTGACAGAAGAATATTGACCCCAAAGCGAAAAATTAAGCATTTCACGCTTTATTTTCATTTTTGATGTAAACAAAGTTCTTTCTTTATTAGTGCTAGATATTTAGTTAGTAGTTTCTGACAAGAGAGGAACTAATATAATTGTGTAACATATGATGAACTTGCACAGCCAGGGAGGGGTCCAGGTGAGGGCGTAATGGGCGTACGCATCCCCTCCCCTTTAAAAAAAAAACCTATCGTAAAAATCTGCTAATCTTGTTACATTAGTGCACTTCACAATTATTTTATGTTTTTTTAGCAAAAAAAGGTCCAAAAAGATTTGATTCTACGCCCCCTCTTTCAAATATCATAGAAACGCCCCTGACAGCTATGAACTTGAACTGTTACTTTAATTGTATACTCGGTTATGACTTGAACAGTATAAAAAAAGATACATATAGCCCTTTATAGAAGTCACTTCTCCCTATGATCTGAAGTAGTGTAAGCCCTGAGATAATGGTATAATTACCAATAATTGAGACAACACACCCACTCACAGTGACACCCTCCCCAATACCAAAAAAAAAAAGATTATTTGAGTTCATAATATACTTGTAAGACAAGTTTATTATTATACATGTTATACCACAGTGACACTGACAGTTTAGTGCTACATTCATATGGTTGCCTGGCAATAAATTTGTAAACTTAACAAAATATTGCATGCAGTTCAAATATAATTAAACAAGCTTACCTAAGACCAAAAACATATTAATTTTGTATCTTACTGAGTTATGAAAAATTTCAAATAAAGTAGGACCTGGGATTTAGGTTGTGGACCTTTCAGTTTGGAGTGTCAAAGGTCCTGGACCTTCCAGTACCAAATGTTAATTTGAACCCCTGATTAGGACCGAAAAAGAATATCATATGAGTGCTAATTATTTAAAGTTTTATATAAAAAAAAAAGCATGAAGACATTTCTATTGTGAATAACGAATCTCATGGACAAACAAGTGACCTTACGTTAACTATGACATATGTACGCAAATTAAATTCAGATAATTTATCTACATGAATGAGATGTATTTTGTTTTAACTTGGTGAATAAATGTAACTGAATCAGATTTCCTTTTTTGTTTGTTTTAACCTTTTAAGTTGATTTTTTTTACATGTAACAATAACGTATTGCTTATAATCTGTTGATTATCATTGGTGTAATGTATCAGGCATATAAATCATATTAATACGGATGTTATGAATATGAGACAATTTTCAAGAAATAGAAGGAGCCTTCAAAAAATGTTAAAAATGAAAACCTTTAATGTATGATAATACATATTTCTGTTAACGCATGTATCAAAGCATAACAACAAAAATAACTAAAGTTTCAGTCAAGCCACATAAAAATGAAATGTGTGTTCAACCTAAGGGAGCTACCATTTGATTTTTATGGGGGGAGGGGGGGGGGGGGGGGGGGGGGGGGGGGGCTAGGATGAAATTTGAAAAAAATAGGCAGGACAGGA